CTCACCTGGAGATTTGCAACCATGGTTTCCCCCAACAGACACTAAGGGGAAATTTATTTTACCTCAGAACATCAACAGCAAACAGTTTAGAATGTTAGAGGCAAAGGCCAGTGAGGCTGCATATGCAAACGATCTCTGTGTTCCGAGGCAAAGGCGAATCAGGCCACATATGCAAATGACCTCTGTGTTCTGACTGGCTGTGGGGGGAGAGAAACAGCAAACTGTTTAGAATGTTTGAGGCAGGACTCAGGCAAAGCAGCCAGTGGATAGGGAGACCCTCTGAATGACAGATCAGAGAGCGAACTGATTTTGGAGCGTGTTGGAATGTTCAGGAGAGTCCATGACCAAATTAGAATTATATATACCGGAGGATAATATTGGCTAGTGATTAGATTTGCTGGCTGTGGTGGCTCAGAGGTTAAGAAGCTGAGTCACAGACCAGAAGATTGGTAGCTTGGCAGTTCGAGATCCTAATGCCACGTGACAGAGTGAGTTCCTATCTCTGGCCCCAGCTCCTGCCAACCTAGAAGTTCGAAGCAGTACTGCTTCGGTGGGAAGGTAACAGCGTTCCGTGCGCCTCGGCATTTAGTCATGCCAGCCACATGACTACAGAGAAGTGTTTGGACAGTGTTGGCTCTTCGGCTTGGAAACGGAAATGAGCACCGCCCCCTAGAGTTGGATTCGACTGGCTTTTGAGCAAGGGAAACCTTTACCTTTGCTGTATTGCAGTAGAAATAAGACACATGTTAAATGTTTAGACTCTGCTTTTAGCAAGTCATTTTCTCAGTACAATATTTTTCAAGATAGCTTTGAAATCATTGTATATCAAATTCCAAGCGGGGCCAGGCTATTGAGTGTGGATTAGTAGACAGATGGTAGAGACAGATGGTAGAGATTTCCCAACAAACTTAACGTAAGTCTCAGGTTTGCAGAAAAATCTGAAATCTAAACTATAATACACTGGGGAATTAAGTCCCCCAAATAATAGAAACAATGCCTTGCACTTTAAGAAAGGAATGCTTATGAGCTCTGTTGCCATTTTGGAGGCTGCTAGGCAACCACTACACTATTGCTGAGCCTCCCAGGCTTGGTTTCTATAAAGCAATGCCATGGGTGTGGGAGTAGGGGTGGCCTTGGAAGCAGGGCTGTAGCTAGTGTAGGGTGACACCCCCTCCCAAATTTTCAACACCCTGCACCGAATCCTAGAGCCCACCCCGCCTTCCTTGCCATCAATACACAGACACACGAGGCATACCACCACCCATCCTCCCAGCTTCCATGGCCCCTCCAGACCTTCTGAGTAGTCTGTGGGGCCCCGCCGTCCCCTCCGTCCAGGCTGCGTTCTTGGCTTCCCCAGCACAGGTGCTCTTGGAGCAGAGCAGCTCTGGCGCTATGAGCAGAAGGTGCATGGCAGGTGCTCAGCAAGTAGAACGCAAGGAGACACCCTGCCGAGTAAGGAGGCGCAACTTGGCTTTGCTTTCCCAGCGTGGGAGGGGGGAGGCCAGGCGCCAGGATTCCCAAGGGTTTCCCGCCATCCAGTCCCAAATTTAGATGGACTGGGGGGCATTAGGCTCTTTGCTGGTGGTTCTGCCTTGCTGTGGGACCACCCGAGGAAGGGCTCTGCCCCCTCCCCCCTTGGCAGCCTCTCCCTCTCACTTACGTGCTTCTCGGCCATCTGTCACAGCCTGGCCAAAGCTATCCCAGAGCTGGCAGCCAGGAGAAGGGGGACTGACCCCATGGCAGGGTGAGTCAGCCCCTCCCCACCGCTGTGCTCCTTGGCGAAAGGGATGGGGTCTAAAGGAGTAGACAGATTTCTCCAGGGCCTCTTAGCAGCCTGCCTGGGTCCCTCTTGCTAGGTTAAAAGACAGGCCCACTGCAAAGGGCTTGGGAGAGGCCAGATGGGGATCCACCACCAGCATCCTTGCCAGGGCGGTCCTTCAGGGCTAGGGAGCTCTGGGGCTGGTCAAATGAGTGAGGCGCCAGGGCAGGCCATTCTGCCCTGCCTGCTGAGCCTTGCCAGTTCTACCAGCTCCCTTAATTTGATAAACCTGTTAATTAAACTAGCTCCTTTAATTACATTAGCATCTCCCTCCCCCCAAATTCCTAGCTACAGGCCTGCTTGGAAGTGACCACACAACGTGGCCAGACTTCCCAGAGAAAGGCTGCCGGGAAAGGGAAGAAGGGAAAGCTGAAGACATGAGCTGAGAAAGATAGGTTGGCTGGTGGTTGGGAAGAATGAAGCAGGGAAAGGGGAGAGGCAATGGGGATTACCAGGGAAGGCAAAGAAGTAGTGGTGGGCACCTCAGTTTCCCCTGTACCCTTCCTTCCCCACTATTAAGTCCTTGTGGGTCCCCTAATTGTAATGTTATATTAACAGAAGTTATTGTTACATCACTTTTATTCAGAGTTTTGCTCATGAAGAATGACCATTCTAGTTGAAACTGAGCATCATGTTGAGCATCATGAAGAAACTCTTCTTCAACTGGCAATTAATTTTTATAAGCCTTAACAGTTGTGTCTTAAATGTGGTTTCTGACACAGCCAATGCAATGCAAATGTCTCAAAGAACAAATCTTTTATTTTAACACTAATGGCAAAACTTAAAACTCTTTCCTCAGGAATTTGACCAGAAATAGGCCAACCAATTATTGTTGGAGGTGAGGAAAGGTATGTGTTTGTATGAGAAAATATAAATAACCAGAGATGTTTTGTTTCAGAAATATAAAATGTGACAGAGTTCTGCCAGAAGAAATTGCTAGCTATTACAAGCACTATGTCAAAGTCATGGGCCTACAGAAGAACTTCAGAGACAACATTTATATTACATCTGTGTCAAGGCTTTACCGAGAACAGGACCATGAAAATGAAAGCCAAGTGAAAGAACATGTTTCAGAACAGCATTTCCAAACACAAGAGCAGGATGGACAGAACCCACCGATCAAAAGAAACTGGGAAATCCGAGGTTACCAGAGAGCACCGGATGGCTCTCATGTACCATTTTGTTTGTTTGCTGAGAATGTGGCTCTTGCTACTGGAACCTTTGATGCTCCTGGCCGCCTACAAGTTGAAGGAGAAGATTTTCCCTTTGTCCTCCATTCCATGTCTGATTTTGGAGCTGCTATAGGCAAAGGAATATTATGTGGAAAAACAGACCCCGTCCTAATCATAGGTGGTGGACTCACAGCAGCTGATGCAGTTCTGTGTGCTTATAACAACAACCTCCCTATAATTCATGTATTCCGCAGAAAGGTCACTGACCCAAATTTAATTTTCAAACAGTTGCCTAAGAAGCTTTACCCAGAATACCAGAAGGTCTACCATATGATGTGCACGCAGTCAGTCACAAACATGGACTCTAATTTGCATTCATCTTATTTCAGTTTTCCTGAACATCGGGTACTTTCATTTCAATCAGATATGAAATGTGTCCTTCAGAGTGCCACTGGACTGAAGAAGATCTTAAAGTTCTCTGTAGCCTTAGTATTAATAGGTTCTCATCCTAATCTATGCTTCTTAAAGGACCAAGGCCAGGGTATAGGTCATAATCCAAATCAACCAATTACATGCAAAGGTAACCCTATTGAAATTGATCCTTACACATATGAGTGCACAAAGGAACCCAATCTTTTTGCAATAGGGCCTCTGGTTGGAGATAATTTTGTACGTTTTTTAAAGGGAGGGGCACTGGGTATTGCACGATACTTGACAAAAAGGCAGAAGCATCAACTCATTGTTGAAAGAGGAGGTGACGGAGTGCCCTAAAGCAAGTAGTCATAAGTACCTTGTAGGAAACTACTGGCATACGCTAATAAGTGAACCATTAACATCTAAAGTCATTGGCAGCCGTGTTTTTGTTACACATACAAGTCCCTCATGCTTGTATTGCCTTGTAGAGGATGATGACTTTACAGTATTTCAGCCTTTACAAAATACAAAAATATTGTCTGTTTTTTTACTGGAGTTCTTTCCAGATAAAGGAAGAGGAAATGAAAATCAGCTGGCTTGCTTTGGTTTCATAACCTACCGAGAGAGCATACTTCTCTAGAGTGAATTTCTGCCCATCAGCTTTTTATTCTTAAGTGTATTACTATAGAGAACTGAGTTCTAAGAATAGAAACTTCTTAACATAAATGATAAATTAAAGAAAATGTTCAGCAGTTTATTTGCAGCAAAGGCTTTATTTATTTTGATACGGACATAATGGCATCTATAGCAACCTGTTAGCACTTTTTAATTGCCTGTGAAATAAAGATTGCTTTTTGCAAGGAGAAACACACTAAGTTATATGCTAGATTTAGCTTTTACATGGTAACAGGAAACAGTTGTCAAAAAAACATTCCTGTTCCCATTACTTAGAAAGAATGTTATCAATACGGGTGCAGATGTGACTTCTACTACAATAAGTGGTTGCAGTAAGTGCTCTTATTACATGTATGATGAATAGTGGATTTACTAATGTAGCTCATGTCCAGCTAACTGGAGAGCCAGTTTGATATAGTGGTTAAGTGCGCGGACTCTAATCTGGGAAAACTGGGTTTGATTCCCCACTCCTCCACTCGCACCTGCTGGATGACCTTGGGCAAGCCATAGATCTGATGGGCTGTTCTTGAAAAAGAGCAGTTTCTGTGAGAGTTCTCTCAGCCCCACCTACCTCACAGGGTGTCTGTTGTGGGGAGGGGAAGGGAAAGGAGTTTGTAAGCTGCTCTGAGACTCCTTTGGATAGTGAAGGGCGGGGTATAAATCCAATCTCTTCTTCTTCTTCTAAAACAGTCTTGGGACACAGTTTATCCTCCAGACTGCTCACTGTTGCAAAAAGTAGTTTCTTAACAAAGGATAGCACTGAATCCTACTTATTATGAGCATAGCAAAGATCTCAGCCTAGTCTCTCAGGTCTGAAAACAGAGATTGTGTAGGACTGAAGCCCCAGTCTCTGATTGGACATACTGAGTCAGCCTCTAGTAGTGCTTGTGGAAGAGAACTTCCTTTTGCAGACTGCTGTGTGCTCCCAAATCCTGTTTCCCAGGCCCCCCTAGGGAACAGCAGAGGGCCATGCAGGTGGACATGAAGATCAGTAAATCTCATACAAATGGAAGTGTGAGCAGAACAAGCCAGTTTCACCCACTACATGCAACCCAGAGAATGCCAAAGTTACTTTAAGTGTCACTGAAATCTAACACTTGAAGCCATAATTAAAAAAAATAATTATGTGCAGTCAAATATTTTTTGTAGTTTTTTTTACTACTATTGATCAATTCCTGATGAGGAAAAGTGACCTGCCTTATTGACTGGAGGCCGTAGCAGTAGAAACTTCAAAAAAGAGGCTGCATTTACCTTTCCCTTGCATACTCCTGTGAATTACAGCCAGTTAAAGCTGTAAAAACCCATTGATTTCAGTGGGACTTAAGCAAATTCATCTTTGCTTTGCCAAGTAAACGCAGCACATGTCAGGTCTGCATGTACTCCTCATCTCCAGTTAGCCTTCTCTTCACTCACCTGACTTGTAAATTTGGGTTTTTGAGACTTCAAGGGTTAGTGGCACAGACAAATCAAATCCATTGTGATCCAGAAAGGTAGCTCTGTGTGCAAGACTAAGCCTGTATGCATCATGGCTCACAGGACCTAGAGCTCCCGTCTCTAGTTCCAGCTCCTGCCAACCTAGCAGTTCGAAAGCAAGAAATTGCAAGTAGATAAATAGGTACCGCTTCGGTGGGAAGGTAACAGCGTTCTGTGCGCCTTGGTGTTTAGTCATGCCAGCCACATGACCACGGAAATGTCTCCAGACAGCGCTGGCACTTCGGCTTTGAAACGGAGATGAGCACCGCAACCCTAGAGTCGGATTCGACTGGCTTTCGAGCAAGGGAACCTTTACCTTTACCTAGATGTTCAAAGGCTTGTATGTTCACTACTAGGATACTGGAACAGTCGCTCTAGTTAAAACATTTTTAACAACCTCCATCCAGTTTCCAAAGTACTATTTCATGCAGTGTAGTGGGCTTCTGTTTGAAAAAACTCATCCAGTACCCAACTAGGTGCATGGTGCTACTTGCATGGTACTCTGGATTCTGGCCATTGGTCATCATTTAGGCTAATACACTGAGGCTGCGTAGGCTTTGGGCTGTCAAAAAAAGGAGAAAGTCCTGATTATTTTGTGTGCTTGCAGACATGGCCTGTTCTGCATCAAGTTCATGTGCAAGGCAAAAGAGAGAAGGAATTCAATTACATACCTGCAAAGAGAGAAGGAATTCAATTACATACCTGCTATCAAAAGCTTCAGCACAGAGCTGCAACCTACAAATAGCCCATTTAAAGCTAGTGAGCAGAATGTTATTTTAACGATTTGGGGATTATCCATATTGTTTAGCATATTAAAGAGCTAGCCTCTGAAACATACCTTATGGCTGAATGTTGAAAGCATGTAGACAACTTCTGCCATTTTGAAAAGTAATCACCCCTATCTTAGTCATTATGCAACTCAAGCAGATAAGCCTTGCAATATCTCCCTAACATACCTACACTTGGCATATTGTCCACAGCATTGCAGTGACACAGTAATTCACATATTCTCCTCTTCTGGTTACCCCTGGACAATAATGCTAGAAAATAAATCAGACTGAATGCTACTAAAATTATTTTTAATCTATGAGATGAACATTTGAAGTGATACCAAGAAATTAAAAGATGGTTCTGGAAACTGGAGAGCTGCCCTATGGTATTTTTAGAAGGATTTGGCATTGCAAAATAACATATCTAGCTTCAATTGCTGCTAATTCCTTGGAGGCAGTAGCACAACATTAATTCTAATTATGTGATAATGAAAGTTACATGTCTCTTTAGACCCAGTTATACCTGAAGGGCAAAGTTATGTCTTTTAAATTCCCTAGTTAAAATTCCCTAGGTAAGACAGCATCCATCTACTTAACTTGAGCAACAAAGGTTATGCAACTTGATGTCATTTCTTTTAAAAATGTTTGAAGGTTGTAAAAAATTATGTACAGAACATTTGAAAGGGCATGCAATTTACTTGAATTTTAACAGGCCTAAGTATTTTCTACCCATGCTATGGTACGCCCTTTCTTTGACAACATTTTCCCCAAAGAATTTCCAGTTAATTTGTGAGCTTCTTTTTAAAGCAACAGCTCATAAGAGTTGATCTACAGATCCCAGTGCTGTAACCAGCATCAGTATTCATCCAGTTCTCTGATTCATTGTAGCTGTACCACTGAGATTACCTATTTTGACCCAAGAACTTGTGGTATCTAATTTATTAGGCATCATATTAAATCTTAATTAGCCACAAGCCAGGTGCTTCTTCCCCCAACCCAAATTCTAAGGTTATAAAGCCAAGCAGAGAAAACAGGGTTGCATTTACCCGTTACCATTGTTCATCGAGTGGCCTTCTGTGCAGCCACACATCCCTCCTACCTTCCCCAGCCTGGGCTATAATCTACATGTGGCTCCTGATGGCTGCCACACAAAGATGCAAAGGGGAGGGGGAGCACTCTTGGGATCAAGACAGTTCCTTTTAAAGCTTGCTATATCTTCTCTGTGGTTGACCTGTATCCTGCTTATACATGACATTAGGCTGGTTACTTAATGTTTTATTTATTTATTTATTTATTTGAGATTTATATCCCGCCCTTCCAAGTGGCTCAGGGCAGCTAACGCTGGGTTAAATAGGTAAAATACAATAAAACAATAATACACATCCACAATAAAATTCATAACAATATTTAAGGTGCTCTATTATCCTGTATATAAATCCACAAGATGGACAGTAATCCCAAATCGGCGGCCAGCTTTATTAAACAGCGAGGGCTCCAGCGGTGATGTTCTCCCCACTTCCGCCAGGCGACACATACCCCCCATAATAGGGGTAGATGATGGAACAGTACCACAATGGTGGAATAGTGGCGGCGGCTCCTACTTAAAAGCCTGGCGGAAGAGGTCCGTCTTGCAGGCCCTGCGGAACTGTATAAGGTCCCGCAGGGCCCGGATCACTTGTACCAGGTCCACCAAGGCTGCTGTACTAGACTGTTAGTTAATCATTATATTGCTCATAATTATTCTATCAGTTACTGACTTTTATGAGATATAACAATGGACATGGCAGAGCCACAGATAGCTGTGGCTTAAAGGCAAGTAACCAAAACCCAATTGAACAGATCTTTATATCAAGAGATGAGTCTTATGAAGGAAGCTTACTGGGCAAGTATCTCATACTGAAAAGTTCTAAAGTACCAAGGCATATTAAACTGTCATTTCCATAAATCAATTGGAGTAACTTAAGCGATTCAAGAGGATGGGTAAACTTATCAAGAGTGTTTATTCAAAGCTGTATACAAATAAATTAAGAATAGGTTAATGTGTCAGTATCAGTATCTAAAAATCAATTCAGATGTGCAGGACATTTGTGTAGGTATTTTCTACAGAGGGCTTTACTACATCCTCTTACAGAGCATCAGAATCAGGACTGACGATTCCAGTAGGAAGCCTGGGTCTTCTGCTGCTGGCCACGATCCTCTTAACAGATTTTTCATATGGTTAAAACCTCATGGGATGGACTAGAAACTTAAATGGACAGATATGTAGCCTTCCCAGACAACATCAGTGATACTACCACCCAACTTGGTGTTTCAAGGCCATAGTTGGGACATTGTACAATTCAAAGATGCTGACTAATTGGGATTTTGAAATTATGCAAATCAATAAAACGTATGCAGCTTATTTTGTGAAATGGTGATCAATCTGATATTTCATTGTGAAAAAAAATATATTGTTTGACAGATGGGAAGTGGCTGCTGCCAAGAGATGGAGTAGGCATGACAGGGTTGACCAGCCAAACAACAGCACCTATGGCAGAACACTGGGAGTTTTGTGTAAAATTGTCTGCATATTTCAAGATACCTTCACAGCAACAAGGGCTGGAAACCTGGGGTTTTCTACTCATTTAAATGAAAGTAGTAATTCCTTTTGACCATTAGCTTATGACATTTTGTCCCTATGGGATCCTTGTATCACTTTAGGGCATCTCCTTCTTTAAGGGAGGAAGATAGCCCAGTCACGAAGTTCTATCTACTGGGTAACAAGGCCTATAAAGCAACATTTTCCCCTGCCATTTCAAAATACACAAGGAGAAAACAAGGCACTGCGTAGCCAGCCCTATTTGCATACACTCTAAAGCAGCAGGAGGACAGCACAAATGGGGCGTTCAGAGGTTCAAAGGATTCCTCCATGAATCTGACCCTCAACTTGTTCCTCGTTATTATATACCTCTGGTGCTCAGCTTGTGTTTTCTGACTGCAAGCCTCATGATTGGAAACCCACTGAAGACACTCTGGCTCTTCCCTTCTCCTGTCACATGCTTGCACATCAAGGAGACCCAAGTTTGGAAAGGCTGAAGACCACCACCCTAGATGAACTCCATGGGTTTCTTTAAAAAAAATTCTACATATGCAGACTTCAGCTACAAATATTGGAGACTGTAAAGATTGTCCTTGCTGTCTTTACCCATAGAACAGGAAACAATAAAAGCGAAAGGAGGAAATTTGGTTTTGGTTGTGGTAGGGAATGCTTACAGGAAACCAGGCTCTTTCATCAGAGTGAGGACGTGACTTCCGTCCCCATCAGTTTGAAATAAATTGAGACATCTAACCCTCTTCTTCTTCATATGTCATTGTGCAATTGTGTTTGTACAGAATCAGCAGAAGTCTGTCAGCCTATTTTCCACCTACAACTGGCAGCATAAAGATTCTGCAGCTGCTGAAGGCTCATTCTTCACAGACATGTGACACATTTTGGGAGTTTACGCCTAGGATCCTCAAACTATGTTACTCTGAACTTAAAGCCAAAGAGGGTGTCAGGCAATGCTCCCTCTAATTCTTTTCCCTACTGAGCAGAGCAGTTCACATCCTGAGCAGAATATAACTGCTGTAATCTTAAAATGGGCGGTGGGCAGTGAAAGACCTGCACGACTCCAGATTGCTGCTGAGCCTCCTGTGTTAATGAGCAGCCACTCACACGCACAGCCTTAGAGGGAACACTGGTGTGGGGTACAGGAGAGGGAAAGTACTTGCTCGAACAACAGAAAGACCGATCTGAATCTATATGTACATGGCGCTCTCAGGTCAGAAATCCTGCGAAACACCACAAAGTAGAACCTTGTTTCAAAGTAATGCACCTCATAGCTGCTATTGTTCCAGTCAGCATTTTGGTGCTAATGAAAAAGATTTTATGCTAACATCACAAGAAAAGATTCGACATTAATTTACATCCTGATAAAAATTAATTTATAGTAAAGGAGCTAAAATAATCTGAAATGCAGAAAACAGATCTGGAGATCCATGCTACAAATTCCAAATCAAGTCCCTTTATAAAACGTTTATAGTCCTTATTTCAGTATTGGGCAAGTCATACCAAAAAAGCTAAAAGCTAAAACAAGTGCTCTTTTTAAAAAGAAACACTTTCTGCTAGTTTCCTTTTACAAAGAAATGTTCACATCCAAAATAATGCTCCTAAATTGTAACATGTGTTGTAAACACTTTAAACTGTAACTTGTTTGAATCAAGTACTGTTAAGAGTTTGCAACCAAGAAATGCCTTGTTCTTCTTTACAGGTTCTCAGAGGTATGAAATGAACCTTTTGGTGCTACAATATACAGCCAGCAAGGAAGCAAAACAAAGTTTATTCTCTGCAGTAGATCCGAATCAAGAGACAGTTATCTTCTTTTTATATGCGGATTATACCTGTAAAGTGAAGAAAGAAAAAGTAAATGCTTAGTTTGGAAATGCAAAGGGAAATACATTCAGATGACTGTAAAACTACTCAAGTTTAATATGAATTTGACTGAAAGAAGAGAACAAATTCAGTTTAAGGTACACAAGTAGTGATATCATGCTTGAAAGTGCAACATTCTAAATTCATGTACATCGTAACAGCCTATATTCATCTGAATGTGTATAAAACAGATCCAACTATTTACTGAATGACTAGCTTGATCTATTGTGAAAAGCTTTTCTACTGCAGAAGAAAAAAAGCAGAAAAACCGTCTGCACTGCAGGAATATGCATGGATTAGGGCTGCCAAGTGGGGGCGGGGGGCGGGTAAACCCCCGCTTCGGAGGCCCGATTCCCACCGCCGCGGAATCTGCAAAAAGATCTGCAAACAGATCTTTTGACTTCCCTCAGTTTGACTACCATTAGAACAACCTTAGTTAAGAAATGCTTCAGTGTCAGATCACTATTCCTTTCCCACCACATCCCTAAAGAGCAGAAAAAAGTTATGCTGTTCTTTCTCTAATGTACACTACTATAAATGGTAGAGTGATGTTTTCCCTTAGAACATACAAACTGTACCCCCAAAAAGCATTAAGTCCCGCAGGGCACGGATGTTGTCTGGCAGAGAGTTCCACCAGGTTGGGGCTCTTTTTTGCAAACTCACTGGCAAATACATTTAAAACACAGAAATTCTCACACTGTAGGGAAGAGAGAGATAATTAATGGCAATACATTCTGCTGTGGAGTTTATTGAGCATATTAACCTAGCAGAAACACTGGGAGAAAACAAGCTACTTTACCTGTTTTACAATGGAAATGAGTCACTCAGAAAAACTCTGGCATGGCATGCTAAACAGCCGCATACCATATCATTTTGCTTGGCACGCAAAGCCAGTTTTCTGCCCAGTGGTGTTTGTAGCACCACCAGGCCTCAGCTTGATATCAATACATCTGGTAAAGTAGAACCCTCGTGGCACCCCATAAACCCTTTGCTTGCCGCATGCCAGCATCGTCTCAGGTAGATGTGTGCAGGATAGCATTTGGGTTAAAAACATTGCCTGTCCCTATGCTAGCCTCTTCTGTCTGAAGAGCCAGCTACTGATGTGAGGACACTGCTTCTGCACCATAGAGAGATGCAAGACAGTTCCTGAAGATAAGCCACTTACCTGAAGAGATCATCAGCAAGTGACTCCTCTCTTGCATGCTGACTCTGTACCTAGAAAAATAAATATTCATTTTCAGAACCTGTGCCAAAGATGAAAATCTCCTTGTCATCTTTAAACAGATTTCTTCATACATTTACTTGCAAATACACTGCTCAAAACACTGACCTACACTCATGGCCAAATGCACTGCATCCAGAGAGCTGCTCCATACTGAAAGGAAAAGGGCATGCTACAGCAAGGGACAGCACATATGGACACCTGAAGGACACTGAACAACGACAGGTCCCAACTGGAGAACTTCCAGTTAGTTGAAGCATATTGATTTTCATTAAAGATCTGCTTGTTTTTCCAGACTTTCCCAGAGAATTTTCAGCACAGTTACACAGTCAAGTAGCATATGAAAATGAGCTAAGGTCAGCTGTGGTACTACTATACGCTTTGTAGATTAAAATGAAATATGATTCTAATGGCACTTTAGAAAGGATGCTTGTGTTCCTTACCTCCATTGCCTGCCTCAGCCATTCTTCCATCTCAGAATTCTTTTTAGCATAATGAGCTACCAGATCTGATCCCCCAATAATGTGTGGAAACAGTCCTGCTCCAGGATAAGGAACCTGTCAAAAACAAAACATATACTAATACTATTTGAGTTCAAAAACCTCGAGCAGAAAATACCAATCCCCAATCAAATGTTATTTATTTCTCAATTCATCTGCAAAGAAGCAGACAAGACTAAACAATCTTTGCTATTTGTATGAAACCTAATAAGAAAACCTGATTTTTGCAAACTAGTGCGATAATATGATGAGACCTTTAAAACAAGCACATTTAACAGTAAACCAAGGCATTTACAGCAGGTGGGCACTGCACTCAGTGTGTGGATTTGGAAAGAACTTGAGCCAACCTGTAATAATTTAATTGGGTTTTGACTTACAGATATGCACAACTTTGATGAGAAATTGTGCTGATCCTGCGATTCTATTAATGCAGCTCTGAATCCATAGGGATGCTGAGTACAACATTCCAAATTTGTTTGCTTTAGATAATTTAATTCTATATTTAGTTCCAATATGAAGTGAGATGTTTTTAGACTGAAAGGCAAGTTGGTTAAAGAACTTTCATTGCTAAATTCTGAACTGTGGAGAAGTGTGGAGAGGGCAGAATATTAAAATTAAAGAACTTTCATTGCTAAATTCTGAACTGCATTATTCAGAAGTGTGGAGAGGGCAGAATATTAAAGTGGTATTTTTGCATTTTGTGTGTGTGCATGTGCATGCGTGCCTGTGCCTGGACGTCATGGCAACCTCTGGCAACTCCTACTGGGGCATGGAGGGTGTTCAGAGAAGTGGCTTGATAGCCTGCCTCTGCCTCCCAGCCCTGGTATTCTTTAGAGGTCTCCCATCCAAATACTTGCCAGGGTTGGCCCTGCTCAGTCTCCAAGATCTGAAAAGATTGGGCTTGCCTGGGCTATCCAGGTAAGGACCATTACATCTATTTTCAATTATTTTAGGAGTTATGAAAAAATACTGGAAATTATTTAAAAGGCTTCTTAAACCACTGGCATCCGGTTTATGAAGGGTGTGGTCTCAGTAGTCTGTTCAAGCCTCCACGAGACTGGAATAATCAGTTCTAAGCATGTAAGAATGTCAGTACATCTACAGATTTTAATGAAAAAAACTAATATTCACCAAATCTGGAAGATGCAAACATTTGTATGTATGTTCTATATACTCTGAAAAGTGCCCTCTTATGACAGATTAAAATACAAGGCATACCAACCTTTTTAAATTTTTTGAAGTTGCACAGATGTCCACAATCTGTTTTTGGAGTAGAATCAACACCTCTCCTTGGCTGACTAACCACCAACGATCTAAATTCACTCAGTAAAAGTCTGCTGGGAAGATTGCTCCAATTACCTACAAATGCATCAGGATTCTTGGAGAGTAGAGGAGGGAAAAATTATAATAGTTAATTGAGGCTATTCTATACTGCTTTTATGTATGTAATCCTACCTTTATTCTTCAGAGTAAATGGTATCACTCATTTTTTTAAATCCAAATGAACCCACGGCACCTTGCACATGGGTCTCAGAAAATATACCAGCTCCCACCATAGAAGAGAGAGCAGGCTGTGATTTCTTTTCCAGATGGAGACATGAAGCAGTGACAGAGACACTGGTGCTGTGGCTGCAGCACTACACAGCTACTGGGTGGTTAGCAGAACCTGAGTATACACAAGGACAGCACTTGACTGTGCCAGGTTGGGAGAGCCAGTTTGGTGTAGTGGTTAAGAGTGCAGACTATAATCTGGGAGAACCGGGTTTGATTCTTCAGCCCTCCACATGCAGCTGCTGGTGTGACCTTGAGTCAGTCACAGTTCTCTCAGAGCTCTCTCAGCTCCACCTACCTCACAGGGTGTCTGTTGTGAGGAGAGGAAGGGAGGGAGATTGTAAGCCACTCTAAGACTGTGAGTGAAGGGCAGGGTATAAACCCAATCTCCCCCTCTTCTTCTTCAGGTTCTGCCAGCCTGCACAGTGCTGCCAGTCATGGCTCTGGTGCCTCCATTGTGTCCTCTCAATACCCACTATTAAGGGCAGCACACCAGCCTCCCCATCAATGCCACTCAGTGGGACACACCCTGCAATCAACGTGAGCTGCTGCTGGGCAAAACCCATTTTACTAAGTGAAACTAAAATAATGTAGAGCTCATGAACTGAATTATCTATACATTTATTTATCTACCACACTGATCATCTACCACTCTAATTATTTGTTTACATCTATATTAAATTTATGTCCTCACCGGTACAACCCAGGCTAGCCTGATCTTGCCAGATCTTGGAAGCTGAGCAGGATTGGCCCTTGTTAGGATCTGGATGCTCGACCACTCTAAGGAAAATCAGGTTCACTACGCAGAGGCAGGCAATGGCAAACCACCTCTGAGCATCCCTTGACCCTTCCTACAGCAGTCTTTCAAATACGAACAGGAAACAGATTTGACTTTGGTTCTCAAATGAACTAAGATCAGATGTTTTACACAGCTAAATAGAAGGCAGAGGAAACAGATAGTGAAACTAGGAGCAAAGTCAATTTAAAGGGAATATTACTCAGATACTACATCTCCAAATATGATCCAAAGTACATCAAAAACTCATTTTGTCATGTTACCGACCAAGAATTCTTTTAATTTAAAAAAATACAATTGCCCTCTACATTACCTTTTGTAAATACACACATATATAGTATAAAATGTCAGTGTGAAAACACTCCTTACATGCAATTCGTTTTTTGTAGTATGTGTTGATTCTTTTTTAACCTCTTGTTTCTGGACTGAAGCTGGAAGAGCCTGTTCATTTTCTTCCTGTTTGACACACAAAACAGTTATAGTATATATATTAAAAATCACCAATGAAGGGTTACATGGTTGAAAACTGATTGCATCCTCCCCTCTCTTACAAAATAACAGTTTCTTGCTTCTTTATTTAAGGAACATGAACTTTTAACATGGGAGTTCCCAGACTGTAAAGGAAATTGAAAAAAAGTTTGCTAATCAACTCAGAATTAGTTGAGTTTCTAGGTCAAACCTTACCAAGTGACTTACTTGGAGTTTACACATAAAACAAAGAATGGAACAACTTTAATGAAAATTTATTGTTCTGGGTAACACTGTTACTGATTTATTGTGACAACACAAGGTCAACATGCTTTACTCAGGAATGTGACCAGACTAAAGAAAGGTATTTCAAAGAACAAGGCAAAAGGGAATTCAAATGACACATTTAAGGTCCAGAACGCAGTCTGAGAGACAGAGAGAGAGGCACAGGATTTCAAGGCAAAGCAAATGCTCAGAACTGTGCATATGAGCACTGAGGTGAAAACAGAAGGAAGAGAGGACAAAAAAGCACTGAGGTGAAAACAGAAGGAAGACAGGACAAAAAAGAAAGGTAGATGCCAAATTTTTGTTTCGGTATCGCAAACCTGCTTTTCTCCCCAATGGGGACCAAAAGCAGCATACAAGACCCCCTTTCTCTCTAGATACTTGAAGGGAAAATTATGACTACAAACTGATTAATTTAACCAACTAATTCTTGTTTAAAGATCTGAAAACCAGTTCTCTACAGAGCCCAGAAGGCTCTTACAGCTTCTCATGGTAGTCTGTTAGAGATGCCTATAAGATACCCTGCCCTGGCTTTTCTGAAAGGCAAGGCCATTCAAGGCTTGCCTCCACTCTTAATGTCAGTTCTGAATAGTTAAATTCATCTCTGTGCTAACATGTTAATATTAAATGGTACTCGATGCACAGATTTGTTGTAATTGTTGTGGCATTTTCCTCCAATGCAAGGGCTCTTTGTGTCAGAAAAAAGTGTCACAACATACAAAAAGCCATGCAGGATCCAACCCACGGTTCTGTTGCAATCTGAAGAATCAAAAATATTAATGTGAAGATAGGAAAAAATGCCTTTACCAATAGCTTCCCAGTGTCTCTGTTTTCAGAACTTCCTTCTTGAAAAACATTCCCTTTCGTTTCCAGTTTCCTCTTTTTCTTCATACCACCACTACTTTTTCCATCCCCATCGCCTAGGTCTTCTTCCCAGTCTAACTCTTTGGACTCAAAAACAAGCTCTAATGAAGCAGCATCTTCTACTAAGTCGTCCAATTCTTTTCTCTTCTTTGTTGCAGATTTTCCAGCAGGGATATTTTTATTAGGATCTTTTTCTTCTGATTTGCTGCTCTCCATCACAGACTTTGTAGTCATGTCTACAGAAGACGGGTTCGTTTTCTGATCCAAAGTACACTGCCCCTTTTGAGATCCTTCTGTTTTGCTTTCCAACAGCAAAGATGTTACAGGCTGTGTATGAACGGAAGCCTGGGATGGTTTCTCATCTACCTTTGCATACTTAGATATCGATGCTTCTCCTTCCTCGTTCCTTTCCCTTAATCAGAAAGCAGGCAGTTTAAACACACACTCTACAGCTCATCCATAAATACTAATGTTATGACTGAATAGGAACAGACACGCATTGAGTTTACTGATATAACACACACTCTACAGCTCATCCATAAATATTAATGTTATGACTGAATAGGAACAGACACCCATTGAGTTTACTGATGTTAAGTCAATCCACTTGAATTACATGTGATATAACATCTAACAGTGTATCAGTCACATTCATCTCAACAAGATCATCTTCATTGTCTGTAAAACAGTCATCACTAAGCAAACAAAATGGGGAAAAGAAGGAAAAAAAACGCCTGGAGTAACCTGGAGGGAATCACATGTGATCATAATTTGGAGTAACAGCCACACAGGCCAGGAGGCTGCAGTGAGAATGGGGTAGGAGGCAAAAACAGAGCTCTGCTTATGTGATTTCACCTCCTTCCCCCTCCCACCAACTTGACTTTTATTCCATGTGGTTCCTGAAACCCTGGGAACAGACTTCCCTGGGGTCAGCTATGGCAAAAGAAAACAGGAAAGTTTGGAGGTGTGGGATCCAACCCACTTTTTTCTGTCACCGGTATTTTAAAAAAGGAGTAAAACACTAGTAATAGTATGACAGAGTAACATATACACAAACACAAGAAATGTATGTAAATGTACCTTTTCTTAGCAATTGCTTGGAAGTAATTTTTAATTGAATTGGATTGCTGCTGTGAATTGATTTCTCTGTTTCTCCCATACTCTGGAGTTTTCGAGGGTGAGAACGATAAACTGCTCTGCTCAGTCCAAGGCTGCCTGTTCAGCTTGGCTGCCGCCGTTTCCATGTTCACAGTACCAGTTCCTGCTGGAGTCTCCTTTACAGTAGTTCTGTCCAGGGGATGTATTTTGCCTTTCTGATCTCGACGAGGCATTTCTTCATGACTTCCAAATATTTCCATGCTGTATAAAGTAAAAATAACAGAACAGGAAATTCTAAGTTAATTAGGAAAAACAGTGTAAAGACGAAGCATATCCCCTATATTGTAATGTATATGCAGTATTACAAATAAATAAAATCCCCCCCAACCTCAGCCTTTAGTCATTCTGACTTCTAAAAATTGGTGCCTTGAATCATTTGTGTGGCTCATGCAGGGCTGGCACCTAAAAGTGTGATCTCAAAGGTCGAGGAGCGTCCATGGTCCCCACGACATCCATTCAAGAGCCAGAGGAACAAACAGACCAAGACCCCCTTGGGCCACAAAGGCTCCCCCAACATTTGAGAAGTCTTCCTCTTCCTCCAAGAAGACTTCCTTCCAGGTAGAGTTGGGGACAACATCCATCTCAGGAGTTCTGAGGTTTTTTAAATCTGCTAAGATCCACATTTAAAAAAAAAAAGGCTTTTCAACCCTAAGAATAGTATTGCTTCCCTAACAAGGCAGTTTAGAATAGGGCCACACATGCAGGCAGAAGAACATTTAACCCTTCGTCCTCCACTTGATTTTGGTAATAAAAACTGGGTTTCCAGCACTGTTTTTATTAGCATGTGAGCCTTCTTTTCGGAGTAAAGCCGAGAATAAAAATAATAATAAAACTTTTGATACTTTGGGTGTGTCTTTTTCCCCTTTAAAATGCTAACAGTAGCATGAGAAGTCTCATTTCCATTAATGAAACCCTTCTCTTTATGTGTGATTGTAATCCAACTCAGGTCTGTACATGAACAATTCTGCCTTTTATACATAGAGACCTGTGGTCTTCACCTCACCCTACATTTAAAAATAATAGCTTGCAACCTAAAGACGACCAGAGCAAATGCTTGTTGTTATAGAATGGTATAATGTTTCTATGTGGTTATCAATTCTGTTGTCATACAGGTTTCCTTTTGTATTTTAACTTTTCTGCAAACTGCCTTGAGCACTCACTTTTGGGGGGCTGCAAGTCAAAATTGATGGTTTTAAAATTAAATTTTAAATAAAATAACACATTTACCCATCAAAACCAATTAGCGAGATATAGTAACTGCAGAAGGATGTGACTAATCTAACCAGCTGCAAGCTCTCGAGAATTGCCCCTTGTAAAATGAAGACATGATAGTCAGGCTGTGATTAGGTATGGGCATGAACCGCATTTTTGCAGTTTGGTTCATGGCTGAAGCACAAACCAAACGGATTGCCAGTTCTTGAACCAAACTGTTTTTATAGGTTCGTGAGCCATAAAACCCTCCTTTCCGCTCCCTGCAAAAGTGGTGGGAGCAGAAAGCAGGGGTTTAAATGGCTCCATGCGGCAGGGAGCAAAATGAGAGGGTTAAATGGGCTGCATGAGGGAGCCCAAAACAGCTGAGCCGGCAAAGAGAGACCTATTTCCACCAGCCCAGCTGTCTCTGGCTGCCTCGCACAGCCTTTAAACAGGCTGCACAAAGGAGCCCCTTTCAATGGACTGCGCAAGGGAACCTGATCAGCTGGCCCAGCGGAAGGAGGGCTCTCTCTGCCAGCTGAGTTGCCTCAGGCTCCCTCGCGCAGCCCCCCTTAAAGTGGGTTATGTGAGGGAGCCTGAGCCAGCAGAGAGAGACCTCTCCCTGCTGCCCCAGCTGTCTTGAGCTCCCTCGCGCAGCCTGTTGAATGGGTTGCATGAGGGAGCCTGAGACAGCTGAGCTGGCGGAGAGAGACCTCTCCCTGCTGGCCTAACTGTCTGGGCTCCCTCATGCAGCTCGTTTAAAGGGGCTCCTTCATGCAGCTGGCAGAGAGAGACTTCTACCTGCTGGCCCAGCTGTCTCAGGCTTCCTCACGCAGCCTGTTGAAAGGGGCTCCCTCATGCAGCTCATTTAAGGGGGCTGTGCGAGGGAGCCTGAGCCAGCAGAGAGACCTCTGAACAGCCCCGAAGAGCCAAACCGAAAAGCCCAAAGTTTGGTAAATGTTCAGGGAGAGCATGCTTCACTGAACATCGCTTCCCGAGCCCAGAACCAACCCAAGTTCAGGCTCATGAGCTGGTTTGTGCTCACCCCTAACTGTGACCTAGTTATGTAATCTTATTTCTAGGCAAACAGAGTAGAGGAAATATCAGTTATACTGTACCATGTGTCCATCAGCTCTGCGTCTGTTACATACCCTGTGGCATCACCTGTGACAGCAGGCATTACAGTCTCCTCTACCAATGCAGTCTGAGAAAGTGTTGGCTGCATAACAGTTGATGATGAATTAGCAGGTTTTATTCCTGCAAATTAAAACACAAGGAAGAACAGATGGTAGTGTTTCAGGGACACAAATACAATTTTAATACAATTCACAGGACAAAGGATAAAATACTTATGTTACTCTTGTAACAGGAAGCCATTGATAATGTTCTTTATGCAATATATTGTATTAGTTGACTTCGAAATGCAATTCTGATGGACCTTAGGAAACTTATTCTATTAGTGCACTAAAACTTCTTAAAACATACTGTTTCAGATAAATTTTTGAAAAAATATTTCTGTATGACAACTCTTTCTTCAGAGAGACTGCATACTACATACCCTCCATTCATTTCTCTCACATCTTGTACCATCAACAAGGTTCCAAAGTAACACTACATTTGCTACTCTGTGTAGTTATTAAATATGTAAGATACTGGCTTGGATACAGAGAAGTGTGAATGAAACCCTGTGAGTGGAAGAGATCTTTTCTGCCTTCACCTTCTTGCTGCAGACTTTTGAAAAACTGTTTCTGCAGGTCAAGGGACCTTGGAAACACCATGAAGTGTAGAGCAAGGAGCTACAGTAGGGCCATGGAATCAACAACAACAAAAGCATCCCCACTCCTCCCTCCACCAGCAGAAGCAGAGTCAGTAAAATCCACTTCAGCACTAGCCACAGTTTGCCATCACTTCCAAAGCAAACTAAGGTTTGTACTCTCCTGTCAAATCAAGACTGCAAGTTTGTCTCAGCCCAGGGCATTAACTACAATTTATACATTTTAAATACTTAGATCAAGATGGGCAGCCATGTTAGTCTGTCTGTAAGCAGCAGAAAAGAACAAGAGTCCAGTAGCACCTTAAAGACTAATAAAGTTTATGGCAGGGTATGAGCTTGTGTGAGTCACTGCTCACTTCTTCAAATAATGGCATATTATGCACACAAAGCCTGTTTCCGATTTCCACTGAAGTTGAGTTGTAGGGTTTGACTTCGAATGGTCTGTGTGTACTCCGCACCTTTCTTTTTTTGTCCAATTTTTCTCATAGGAATTGCGGAGTATTTATTCTGCACACCAATGAGAAAAACCAGACATTGTGTCAACGGTGCCGAAATTTACATTTATTTTTTTTTGGTGTGGCATAGTTTATCATAGCTATGCAGTTGCATTATAGTAGGGTCACTGTGTTCATCGGCTCAGTTTAGCACACCGAGTTTAGCGACAATCTCCTTGTTGGGTCAGTTTTACGCTGGGCACGGTTTTTGAAATAGATTCTTTAAACTATGTTTACGCTTGGGCAGCCATCTTAGCAGAACATGAGTAATGGGTCCTTGGTGGTGGTTTCTTATGGTGGCAATGGTTCTGATTCTTGTTCCGGTCAGAAAGATCGGGCACATATTGAAACGGGGGGGAACACAGATGAAAAGTACCATATTTCACCAATGTACAGCGAGGAGAGTAAAATGGGCAGTACTGATGGGAAACACGGCTCGGCGGTCCCGTGCTGTGCAGAGGTGCCAGCATGCTCTTGCTGGTGTCTCACCACTCCATGTTTGGTTGTCCTCCTCATGGTGCCATGGTTGGTGGGAGGCTTTTGTGCTGGCACAAGGGGGTGAAAGGGAATGGATCCATAATTTCAGAGTGACCCAGACTACTTCTGCTCAAATAATGGAAACTTTGAAAGGACGCCAGCAGCTGGAGCAGATCACTATGCATAAGCACACTACAGTCGAGAAGCGTGTAGCAATTGCCCTTTTTTACCTCATCAATGGCAATCCATTCAGAGAGCTTGTGGGGCACTTCTGCTTTGAGCCATCTACAGTGGCAGACACAGTTGTGGAAGTTTGCTTGGCAATCAGTGGCGAGTTCCTTAGGAAGACTGTTTGCCTGGGTCTGGATGTTAACAGAGGTGTCAAGAGAATGACACTTCACTCTCTGTAAATTCCTTGGCCTGTTTTTAAAACTTTGGTTCAGGCTGTGCTTGTGGGTTATTGTAGCTCAGAAAAAGACTACAAAGCCGGTTCAAGATGACTTCAAGTCTCTTAGATAACATGCAGCTGTAAAGAGGAGTTGAGGAACTCAGTACTAGTTTCTCCAATTAGCCACATTCCATTCAATTAAGGTCTACAATTTGTACCAGTGAGAAAGGGGATGAGACTAACTTTCCCACACACACACAAAAACACACACTCACACAAACGTACGTTCTGGCCAAGTGTTGTGGCAGAAGAGAAAGGTTGTGGTTGCCCAAAGTGATGACTCATGAAGCCCTATGGAACACTGAGGGACAGGCGTGAGAGGAACTTCAACTATGGATTGTGCAGGGCACGAAATGTGGTTGAGTGTGCTTTCAGGTGACTGGAGGCACATTGGCGCTGCCTCTCTGCTCCCCGCATAATGTTCCCTAAAAATGTCACCGCAGTGGTCACTGCATGTGTGATCCCGCATGATATATGTGAAGGGACATGTAGAGCAGGCATGAACCATTGCAGAGCGCTACTTACCACAACCCACCTTTCTAAGAGCTATGCCAGATGAGGACTATGATCCCCGTGACACTTGCAATTTGCCAGAATGGAAAGCTATTAGGGAGGTGCTGGCTAACTTTATGTACCGAAATTGGCAAGGTAAAAAGGGGGGCTGGGGCCCTCCCTTAGCCTTCTTGCCAAAAGAAAGAAACCATTCCAACCCTTACTTTTGTCCATGCAAACTGCATGTTTCTCTTTCAATAAAAGCATGGGGGGTGAAGCCTTTTTTAATGTTCATCAAAGGTTCTTTGTGAAAACAGTGCACACAAGTTTGTATTTGTTGTCAAGAGAATTTTTTTTTCAACTGAGCATTGTTGCATTGGTGATGGTCGGGGAAGCCACTGTCCCCAGTGTCCAAAATGTAAAGAGTTTGTGAACTCACACCCATGGAAATGCTGATGAACACCAAAAAATACTTCTTACATATCTGCATTATTACAGTGACCAATAAGCCCAATGTAAGTGACACTGGGCAAATACACAGATGAAGAGTACTTCTCATGATTGCTATAGTAACATGAAGGCAACAACTCTGCGTGTTTTTCAACATGTGTGTTCTGGTACTCCCACGGAATTACGGTTCAACCACACAGACTATATAGACAAGTTCACCTGGAGAATAGTGGTGCACATCTGGGTATACCACATGGCATTTCACATTAACAACTTATGTCCATACCCTCCCCTGGGTGGGTATGTATGACAACCTCACCCCCATCACACACTGGTGTCCAGAGGCAACCTCGTCAGCCTTGCCATGACTCCAAGACCCAGAGATGGTGCTGTCCCCCCCCCCTCAAACAATCCTTTCTGGAAGGCCATGGCACAGTTAGCTGGTGGCACGTGTTTCTGCAAACACTGGGGCAACCTTTCCTTTATCGCCTAGTAAAAAAGTACATTTTTCTCAAGTAGTTTTCAGTTGATTTTATTGGAAAGTTGTCTTAGCTACACCAGGCACTTTCAGAAAAGCATGGGCAAACAGTGCCCAGGAAAGCCAACATATCCAACCTATTAACTTATCACATCCAGTGCAGCTATACCATCTCTCAACACAAAATGTGCACTGCCAACAACTACAAGTCGAAGTGGGCCCTCTTTTCTCCAATGCATGAACGCTTCTTCATTGCATTTCTGTTTTCTCTCCCATCAGCCAGAACACCTTCTGGGACTGGTGCTGGTGCTTGGGCAACCTGCTGCACCGTGTTTTGAGAGTCAGCAAGGGATTTAAGGGCCTCAACAGCTGCGGGCATGACTTGGGTGCTCCTGTCTATGGCATCTTTGAAAGTCTGCCTGTTCATTCTAGTCTCTTCCAGCATGCAGTCAAATTGCCTCTCCTTGGTTGCCATCAACTTCTCATGATGCTGTACGGAGCACTGCTCTTCGCGCTCACACTGGCAAAGCATACACTGTCCGACATTTGTGAGTACGGCAACATGCCTCCTGTTCTGGGCATTGGTCAAATGCGTGGCTGGCAACATCTTCCCTAGTGGCATCTCCTTCTGTCCCTCAGGGTTGTCAGCTATAAACAAAACAAGTGTTGACTTAACAAATGTTGCAGATCACAATGTCCAAAGTCAGCACGAAGTCACCCTCCATGGCCGGGCAGCCTCAATACGTTTGCTAATGGCTACATCACATTCTCACAAGTGGAATACATGTGTCACCATTGTTTTTATCTCACTCCTCATTTCTGCAGCCAGAAAACCAAAACTGAGTAACTGATCGATGAAAGTGGCTGTTATGCTCCCACAACTAAACTCTACTATGTAGTAATGCTGACTGGATGTAGGATGGGGTAGAGCGCAGAGACGAAAAGAAGAACATTGCTTCAATGAGATAATATCCGGGACTCATGAGGGCAATGTACTGGAAACCCAATCTCATAAGGCAAAAGCAAGTCTGACCTGGAATGTCTCCTGTGTTGGCATTTGCTGGCAATCGTTGCTGGCTGGGCAACTCTTGCCCTGTTTCTCCTGACAAGCCTCCAAAAGGGTGTAAAAACAAAACATCAATCTTGTAAAGGGTAAGGGGAGGGGTCGGCTTCATTGCCCTATTGCCAGCCCAAGAGTAGATAAGCAGTTTGTCGCATTTGCAACTATCCCAGACAATGTTTACTAATTCATGGTACCTTGTTCTGTCCAATAAGCTTCAAATAGTGGGAAAACTGTCTACCTTCAAATCTGATCCCCCCTTTGGCACAGCCCCCCACTTCAGGTGAAGAAACGAGTGCTGCAAATGGGAAAACAACGTCACCTATGTCCAAACACAATTTATCGCTGAAATTGCAGATATGAATTTAAGGGGGGGGGGGCAGGGATGGCAAAGTGAAACGTACTGCACTCAAGATTGTAGGAGATGCTGATCTCATCAAGGTCCTCTTCTGAATGTCCGCACACTTCATGAACCTGACCTGCACGAGCAAGAAAGTAGAGGTGGGTCAAAACCAAGGAAAATCCAAAGTTCCAGCAAAGTGGAGTGAAAGAGTTCATAGTGCAGCAATGTGGCAACTCACCTACATGCAGGGGTGTGGAGCAACGTCTATCTGCCGGATTTACCATCAGTAGATCATGCAAGAACAGTTCCTCTGATCCTGCACCAACATCCAAGCTAGGCTGGCATTGCTCAACCACAACATTAAAATCGAGGCTCCTCCCAGCATGCATTGGTGCAATGCTGGTGGCTCCACAAAAAATGTGGTGGAGCTCGTTGTAATATGAGCAGGCTGTGGCTGAATTGCCTGACTGATTATTATGTACCACTGCCTTCTTGTAACCTTGGTGGAGCGCCTTTGATTTTGTACAGCACTCCACTGCAGATCACTTGTGCCCCCTCGATGCCATGTGCAAAGAAATCCTTTCAAAAATTTCAATATTCCTATGGGAGGAGCCCAATGCCTCCTGCACCTTCTGCTCTCCCCATAGGGAGAGGAGATCCAGTGTCTCCTGCTCTCTCCAGTACACTCCACGGAAACCACTCCCAGGCTTGTTACTGGTCGCCATATTGTCCTGCCCTAGCAAGGATGCAATAAAGAAAAGAAGGGATTTTCACAGTAAATGGTGCCACAAGGACCCAGCGTTCCTCGTGTCCCTCACCCACTCCAAGCCTTCAAAGCCAATATCAATCCTATTGGATGACAGAACCACAAAAGTAATTGGATTGGCCGGAGGGAGACCACCTGGTCATTTTCTTCCTAGTAATTAGGTACTGGGACAAATTGAGGTGGAGCTATACCCCCTGAAGGTATAAGCACTACAATGGCTGCCGTCTACTTGAAAACGCTGGGGAAAGCAGTATTAATGTTTTCTTGTCTACATATTAAATCAAAATACATGGGCAGCATGTGTGTGGATGTCAAAATCCAAAGTGCTACCAGATGTATTTAACAAAACTACTACCATGAAGGTGGCTCAACAGAGCAAAGCTGTGCCCTCCATTAAAACCCTTGTGGTTCAGTCCCTTGCATGAAAGAAAACACAACAGAATGCAGTCAAGCAGAAAAAAAATTCAGGCAACCCAGCACCAATCCAACTGCAGACATTTCAAGGCATAAGCATGCCCAAAACAGAGAAACACATCCAGTAGCCCCTGAAGACAGATGGGGCAGTGGAAAGAATAGGGAAGCTGTGGCAAGCTGTGATGTTGCTGAAACGAGATGGGGGATAATGCCACATTTTGCAAGAAAGAGCTTGCTAGCCTGTTCTCCATATGGGCATGTGCACACACACCAGCTGAGGATTGGCCACCATCACACTTACTCCTGGGCTTGATCCTTACTCCTATCAATAATTTTTTTCCTCAATGATCCAAGACTAACAATAGTTTCATACCGCTAGACTCGTCCCTCTTGTAAAAAAAATGGTGGGAAAAGAAAGCAATAGTAGAGCTTGTACACCAATGAAGCGGGGAGGATGGCGGAAGCTCAGAGTGGGAGGAACAAACTTAATGTGAGTGGCAGAGTTGACTTTGAGGGGTGGGGAAAGGGTGGTGGTGGGGAATCCGACATAATCTGTACGCTTTTTAGTTACCTTCACCTTAGAAGTGAAGGGAAAAACTGCCACAAAAGCACTCCCAGAAAACCCAGGGAAACAGCAAATGGAAAGCGAACTGAGTGCTGAAGGGAGGAAATGAATGCAGACTAAAAAGAAAACTCGACAGACATGCATGGTGAAAGCAGGGCAAAATACCCGTGTATAATAGGACAAATACTTAGGCTTAGATCCAGAGTAACACTTCTGTGGGTGCAAGGACCTCCACCTGCAGAGTGCAATTTTCTGGACCACTGCAGCACAAAAGGCTGCTCCTAGGGGATGAAGAACATTTTGAGACACATTTGGGGCTGTAGCAAGTGGTGCAAGGTAGAAAACTGAGCTCAGGGGACAAGAGTCATACTGTGGGAACACTGCTCTGAATCCAAGCTTTTGAAGTCTTAACATACATCACTATTGCAACCCTTATAGCATATAAAACTTGGTCAGTGTCATAATCTCAGTGTTTGCATATTGTGAACCTTGTAAGCTCATGACAGAAGTGAAATCAGAACTGGAGCTTTTCTGTTGAAACTTCAGTCTGAACTACCACATACCCCTCCCTTCACATTAGGGGAAAAACAAACAGCACAACAAAACAGGGTGGGTGGAGAATTGTAAAACAGGGAATTAATTAAAAGATCACAAGTGCCATCCTAAGCAGACTTATACCCTTCTAAGACTTTGGATGGGTGCTTAGAAGAGTCAACTCTGCTTTGGATTGTATTGTGAGTACTTAAAATCTGCACACAAAAGATAACCTTATCACCAATATAAATCTGCAGTATTCTGTAAGACAGGAGCTCCATATCATATGCCATCTGAGGAATCCAGTTTGTTATAGTAAATGATTTATAAAAGGAATAGATAAATTCTGAACTTACCTGTATCAAGAGAAGCTTGGGGATTACAGTACCTTTCTGTGGATACAAAGATAACTGCTAAACCAATTTCTGCCTCTGAAATTGTCCTGTATTTTTTCCTATTAGAAACAGAACAGAGACATTCCAAGTAAGGAATAGGAAACCACCAAACAAAATGCAGGATTCTCTCAGCAGAATCTAAAGGGCTGAGTACCACATTTTGAATCTTCTCAGATTCCCCTTCCCTAAAACAGCTGATTCCCTCCCTTTGCCAAAAACTTGTTGGGGAGCCTTACACAGCATTCAAGGTCACATGAAGAAATATTACCTTGTATGAGCACGGGTCTGTGTGTTACCAGGATGATTAAATGAAAATGTCTAGTGTAACATTTAATTCTATTAACTTCTGCCATTTCCAGACCTTTTGTTTTGCAGTCAAGTTGCAGCTGGCGTATGGCAACCCTGCAGGGCTTTCAAAAGAGCAACAGAGGTGGTTTGCCATTGTCTGCCTCTGCGTAGGGACCCTGGCATTCCTTGGTGGTCTCCCATCCAAATACTAACCAGGGCCAAGCATGCTTAGCTTCTGAGATCTGATGAGATTGGGCAAGCCTGGATCATCCAGGTGAGGGCTTCCATACCTTTTGCACATGATTTGTTATTGTAATTAAAATACTTAATTTGAATTCACATACAGTAAAGTCCCTGCATATCATAAAGTTTAAGTATATACACAACTCGTTTTTACTGAATTACCCAACACATTTTCATCTGAAAGTGATTTTCAGAGAAGCCGTTGGGATTTATTACCAAGCAAGCATGCTTAAGATTGCAGTCTAAATCACTCGGGCATTTAGATTTCCATGCAACATACACACTAGCTCAGACAGTATCCAAAGAACAGGAGAATATAACTCTTAACGATGATACTAGATATGTCATGAACAGCACTCTGACAATTAAATTTCCTACTCATCTAAAAATTACTTTACCATAAAATGGACCACAATTGCTAAAACATCAGCAGTCTTACTGAAGTGAAATATGTCACACCTTTCCAAGACTGTTGTGATAGTATCAATCCATTTCCTCCCCAAGTCAGAAACTGATGCTTGAGAGCCTGTGAGTCCAACATCAATAACACAAATATGAGGAGCTGCTAAGGAAGCAGCATCTTCTGTTCCCTCTGTCATCAGTTTTGCCTCTCCTCCTCCAAGTGTGACGGCTGGACGCAGTTTTGCATGCTAAATCAAATACAAAATCCATACATATGACAGAACAGACTCCATCTCCCCTTTAAACAACATATAACTTTTCAAATTTTAAAAAGTGGATGAAATTACTGTGAGAATTCTTCAGCAAACATAGCATTACAAAGAGAGAACTCTGCAAGAGCGATCAATTACTTCTGATTGTTTTCTTCTATCACTACTTTATCACAGTGAACTGTCTACACAGAGGAAACCCTGTCATTTGTCTTCCTTTACCATTAGAGGAAACAGAAGACCAGGAGAGCTTCCACACTACAAAAGATCAAGGTCATCCAGAACTTTGTGAAATGCAGTATCACCTTTCTCTTATAATGCGAATGCTGTATCCATGCAGCAGCCCTACCAAGATATCAAGTCCCCTATTTTTCTTCTGCAGAAATGCACTTACAAAGTACCTTAAATCCTATTTGTCAAGAAAAGTGCAGTAAATGCAGAGCCGGTTACCTGCTTAGCAGACAGAAAGACAATTTTTTTCCCTCTGAAGATTGCTCTTCTTGCAGGACACACAGCCAAATCTACTTTTTCATTCCTAATAGTTGGTTCATCAACTGGAGGATGAAAACTGCGAACAGAATAAACAGATGAAAATGTAACTCATACTTTATAGTGGTGCTAATTACAGCTAATGTCTAGATTCTTCAAAACAAAATTCTTGGAAAATATTAATACGTACTGGTTGTGTAGCCACTACTGTAAGTACATTGAAAAATGAAAAGCAGAGAGAGGAAGGAGGTGAATTCTCCCCCACTTCTCTTAGCCCTTCCCCAGTTTGGATATCATGTATTTTACTCTGTATCTAATATCTAAACTTTGGATTTATAACTCTTTGTTTTACTATGTTGCCACTGTAAAACCTTAAGATTTGATTCTTGTGCGCATGGTTTTACAACAGAGCTGTTTCATGGGATACATACACACCACAGGAACAAACATTACTAAACAACAACAACAGGTGAATGACAATAGCAAGCTTGATTGGATTAGGTGTGATATGCAGAGGGGTAGTAGGCGTGGAGGTACCAGCATTGGTAATGAGACAGGAAACCCAGGTCCCAATTCGGTCCAGGAGCATACAAAGAATAAATGGACATAAGTCTGACATTAGAAACCACAACATTCAAAAACTAGTGGGGGAACACTGAATGGAAACCAAGATTTCATGCCTCATTACCAACACCTGCTATTGTCATTTGGCATCTGAAATCACTCCACTCTCCAATAACTCACATTCTAGCTGTATCTGAAGAAGTAAGATGTAATGAAAGCTCATTATCTGCCACAAATTTTGTTAGGTGCTACTGGGCTCACTCCTTTTCTGTAATAAAGACTGCAAGCTGTGCTGTTGGGTTTCTTTTTTCCCTTGTGCTCCCTTGTAAGCCGCCCTGAGCCTGCTTGCGGGGAGGACGGAGTATAAATATAATAAATAAATTCTTCATCTGTTTAAACTGGAGGGGGGGGTGTCTCCAAGTGAAATAATGAGTTGGTTTCAGAAGGGGGGGGGTCTCTCCAACTGAAACAATGTGTTGGTTTCAGACTGGGCAAAATCACTGCTAGTGCATGGAAAGCAAAGGAGTGAAGAAAGATAGCCAGAGAGGAAGACATGTTGAACTGGAACATATTTCCCTTATAAATAAAAGCCGAATGGTGGTGGCACTTCTCTAGAACATTCCACACGCTCCAAAATCAGTTCGCTCTCTGATCTGTCATTCAGAGGGTCTCCCTATCCACTGGCTGCTTTGCCTGAGTCCTGCCCCCAACATTCTAAACATTTTGCTGTTCCTCTCCCCCCCATAGCCAGTCAGAACACAGAGGTTATTTGCATATGCAGCCTCATTGGCCTTTGCCTCGGAACACAGAGGTCGTTTGCATATGCGACTTGATTGGCTTTTGCCTCTAACATTCTAAACAGTTTGCTGTTCTGAGGTAAAATGTGTCCAATCTCCAGGTGAGGGCTGGAGATCACTCAGAATTACAACTGCTTTCCAGATGGCAGAGATCAGTTCCCCTGGAGAAAATGGTGGGCTCTGTATCCTTATATGCTGCTGAGGTGGCCCCCGTATGACAGCCAATGTGACATAGCAGTCAGGGCTTCAGAGCAC